TCTTGATTTAGGCTCAAGTCATGATCTCAACATTGTGAGATTGAGCCCCATTGGCTCCTCACTGAGCATGGAGCCTGGGTAAGATTCTCTCTCCCTCTCCTTGCTTCTCCCCACCCTGCACTCAGTGATTCTCTCTCTCTCAAAACAAAACAAAACAAAATGAAAAAATAATCCTCAAACTCATAAGGAACCACAAAAGACGCTGAATTGTCAAAGCAATCTTGAGCAAGAACAAAGCTAGAGGTATCACAATTCCTGATTTCGAATTATATTACAAAGCTATAATAATCAAAACAGTCTGGTGCTGGCATAGAAAACAGACACATATTCCAATGGAATGGAGAATAGAGAGCCCAGAAATAAACCCACACATATACAATTAAGTAATCTTCAATAAGGATGCCACAAATAGAAATGGGGAAAGGATAGGGTCTTCAATAAGTGGTGCCAGGAAAATGGGATATCCACATGCAAAAGAATGAAAAGAATGGACACTTATCTTACACCGTACATAAAAATCAACTCAAAATGGATTAAAGACAATGTAAATAAAACCGCAAAACTTCTAGAAGATAACATAAAGGAAAAGCTTCTTGATACTGATACTTATATGACACCAAAAGTACAAGAAACGAACCAAAAATAAACAAGTGAGATTACATCAAACTAATTCAAACTAAAAACAAACAAACAAAAACCAAAAACCCAAAACAAACAAACAAACAAAAAACCCCTCCTGCACAGCAAAGGAAACAACAAAATGAAAAGGCAACCTACAAAATGGAAAAAAATATTTGCACATCATGTATCTGATAAGGGGTTAATATCTAAAATATATAAGGAAATCATGGGGCACCTGGCTCAGTGGGTTAAAACCTCTGTCTTCAGCTCAGATCATGATCCCAGGGTCCTGAGATCAAGCCTCATGTCTGGCTCTCTGCTCAGCAGGGAGCCTGCTTCCTCCTCTCTCTGCCTGCCTCTCTGCCTACTTGTAATCTCTGTCTGTCAAATAAATAAATAAAATCTTAAAAAATAAATAAATAAAATAAAATATATAAGGAAATCATACAACTCAATAGCAGGAAAGCAAATAACCTGATTTAAAATGGACAAAGAACCTAAATAGACATTTCTCCAAAGAAGACTTACAAACTGCCAACAGGATTATAAAAAGGTGCTCAACACCACCAATCATCAGAGAAGTGCCAATCAAAATCACAATGAGATATCATTTCATACCTCTTACTGTGGCTATTATCAAACATTTAAAAAAAAGGTAAGTGTAGGCAGGGATGTGGAGAAAAGGGAACCCCCACTGGTGGGAACGCAAACTGGTACAGCCATTCTGGCAAACAGTATGGAGGTTCCTCAAAAAGGTAAAAATAGAACTATCATATAATCCAGTAGTTCCACTTCTTGGTATATGTCCAAAGGAAATGAAATCAATATCTCAAAGATATCTGTACTCCCATGTTCACTGCAGCATTATTTACAATAGCCAAGATATGGGGGGGGGGGGCTGTGCACCAATGGATGAATGGATAAAGAAAATGTGGTATATGATGTATATATACACATACACAATGGAATATTATTCAGTTATTAAAATGAAAGAAATCCTGCCATTTGTGGCCACATGGATAGATCTGGTGAACATTATGCTAAATGAAATAAGCCAGACACAGAAAGACAAAAACTATACGATCTCCCTTATATGTGGAATCTCATAGAAGCAGGAGTAGAACTGTGGTTTCCAGGAGCTTGGGGCAGGAGGGATGGAAGGCAATGGCCAAAGGTTACCGTTAAGCAAGTAAAAAAGTTCTATAGAGGGGCCCCTGGATGGCTCAGTGGGTTAAGCCTCTGCCTTCAGCAGGGTCCTGGGATCGAGCCCCACATCGGGCTCTCTGTTCAGCGGGGAGCCTGCTTCCCCCTCTCTCTCTGCCTGCCTCTCTGCCTACTTGTGATCTCTCTGTTGAATAAATAAATAAAATCTTTAAAATCCTCAGAATCTTTAAAAAAAAGAAGAAGAAGAATTCTGTTTCTGTTTGTAGTCATTACCATAACTTAGTAATTATATTAGTGGTAATAAACAGACTATGAATTCCCAAAATAAATAGTACACACATATATACTGTGTAAAATGTTATATTTAACATCATATACCCATAAAGTGAAATTCTTGCTGCATGCAAGAGCCCTCGATATTGAATGAATACCCTACAGATGTTAATAAACATAAGCAATAAGGCAGGACCAGTTAAAATCACTATGTCAGATAAAGATGCTAGTTAACATTTATCAATGACTTACTAGACATGGCCCTGCTTCTAAACTTTCCATGCACTGACTCATTAGATCTGGAAAACACCCTAAGAGGTAGACACTATTATTTATCCCTATTATGCAGATAAGGACATTGAGGGACAGAAATCTAAGTAATGTCTCCAAAAGGATAGTGTCCATAAATGATGAAATCAGGATTCAATCCCAGGCACTTTGCTTCCAGAATCTGTGGTCTTAACCAAAAAGAAACCAGAAAGAAACTCAGAAGCATTAACTGAAATTTCTCATCTAGGTGGACGTGTTCTAATGTAGTTGATGCCTGATTTCCTTCAGTAAGCATTCTCCACAAACATGACAGTATGAACTACCAATGCCATTCAGTTCTGATTCAGGTCACAGAGATTGTCTAAAATACTCCTCTTGGTCACCCAACAGTCTTGACAAGGAGTGTCACTCAGCACTCAAAAATGAATATATTAGATGGTTCAGAGACAATCTTTCATCACATAGTCAAAATCTGCTTTAGAAAATTGTTTAAAGAATCATCTTCTTATAATTAAAAAAAAAGAAACAAAGAAAGAAATGAGCTCTCTACAAAACTACTTTAATTTTTCCCATTTTCCCCTCTGTTTGCTGCACAAATTAATCTCCCAATACTGGTGGATCCTTTCTTCCATGGCATCTGCACACATTCACCTACAGCAACTCCTTCCTGGAAAACCTACATTTATCTTCATTTCATTTTTCAAAAAATGAATTGAAATCCATTGCTTCTAGGATGTCATTTTTCTGACAATGATTAGAGGAGTCCAGTGGCTAAGTCTGCAAGTATGTCATGAAATATCAAAATCAGTTCCTCATTTGCCTAGGGAAAATCGCCACCTTCTTTTATCATTTGGCCCATTCTTCTAGTCCTCATGGGGTATATGCAGCCTCTCCTTTTGAATCCAGTTATTAAACATTAACACCCTAGTCTGGGAAGCATTTCTTGCAACTATATGTCCATTTGTTGTATACACAAAGAAACAAAATCCTGTGTGTATAATTAAAATGCTTCTCTGATAAAGTTTGGCATATCTTAAAATTTACCAAATATTATAGCTTAACACCTTCCACAGCTAAGCTGGAAATTCATTTTATAGTTTAAGAGGGAAAAGATTGTGTTTCATTACAAATGTGAACTATCCTGGAGAAACTATGATTTTAGCACCTGCCCTTTCTATGATCTGGTAGGTCCCTACTACACATATTCAATTATCTGTATTTACAAGTGTCATGAGCCTCCCTAATAAACTAGACTTTTTAGAGAACTGCTACAACAATAAACAGCATTTATAAAGTCCAAAGTGACGGTTCTGTTCCCCTCTCCCCAATGGATTTCTACTAAGACCAAAGATATTTTCATAGCTTTACTTTTACTAGTAAAGTAAAACTGATGGGGCAGTAGTCCTCACCCTGGCCAGATTAGAGTCTCTAGGGACATCTTAAAAGTCTTAACACCCAGGGATGCCTGGGTGGCACAGATGTTAAACATCTGACTCTTGGTCTCAGCTAGGATCTTGGGATCAAGCCCCACATTGGGCTTCATGCTCAGCATGAAGTCCGTTTAGGTTTCTTTCTCCCCCTCCTTATGCCCACCCCCCATAAATCAATCAATCAATCAATCAATCTTTAAAAATACCTTGATATAAAGACTGTGCCTCTGGTCAATTAAACCAGAGCCTCCAGGTGTGGGACCGAGGCAGCAGTATAGCCCTTGAACAGCATGGGTTTAAACTGCACATGTGCACTTACACACAGTTTTTTTTTTTTAATTACAGAACAGTACTAAAAATTAATTTTCTTTACCTTATGATTTTCTCCATTACACTTTATTTTCTCCAGCTTACTTTATTGTAAGAATACAGCATACAAACATATAACATATAAAATATGTATTAATCAACTGTTTAGGTCATCAGTAAGGCTTCTGAGTCAACAGTACACTATCAGTAGTTAAGTTTGGGGGAGTCAAAGGTAATACAAGGATTTTTGACTGTCTGGGGTTGTTGCACCAACATTATTCAAGGATCATCTGTATTTTCTGAAGTACCCAGGTGAATCCAACATGCAGCCCAGGGTGAGAACCACTACCCTAGTAATACTGGGAAAACATCAGGTATCCTGTTTGCATTAGGTAAGAACTAGTATATACAAAATCTAAGTTTTGCTCATGTGTACTATCATCCATCAGTGAACCCAATTCTGAATGTCCTACAACCAAATGAAGGTGTTATAATGGTGACATGGAGATTAATCCCTGAAGAAAATGAGTAAAGAGTCAGCATAGGTTTCTAATGATTTAGCGTCCTTTTTTAAGGAGAAAGAAAAGGACCAAGTAGGTGTATCTTACAACTGCCAGCATGCAATAAATTGTATTCTAAAAATCTACATGCCTGTGGTTCCCTGCTTCATCCCCACCTCTCCAGATTCTGATAAACTCTTCCAGAGTAGCAGATAGTTTGGGCATCTATGTTTGGGTAATGTCTTTATCCATCCTATGTTTAGACATAGAAAGCATAAAAGTGTTGTGTTTCTCACCTTCCATGGATTTATGCCTTGTGTTTCCACTGGTTTTTGGTTTTTCCCCTAGATATGTGTCCTACTCATTTCTAAACTGAAAGTTTCTCTAATTAGAAGTAGGATTGTAAAAATGAGATGAACATGACTGTTCTTACCTTCCCTGACTTTGGTCCCTCCAAGGACTATCGCAGATATGCCAACAGATGATGATAAGAGCCAAATACAGATGTTAATGATCTTTGCCTTCATAGGGGTGCGGAAGTCTAAAGCTTTGACAGGGTGGCACACAGCAATGTATCGGTCCACACTCATCATGGTCAAGGTGAATATGCTGGTAAACATGTTATAGTAGTCAATGGAAATGACTATCTTGCACAGCACATCCCCAAATGGCCACGAATTCATCAGATAGACTGTGCTCTGGAAGGGCATGGTTGTAGTAACCAAAGCATCTGCCAACGCCAAGTTAAATATATAAATGTTGGTTGCTGTCTTCATCTTTGTGTATCTAAAAGACAAGAAACAAGAGCATTTCTCTTCAACTTTGTATCAAATCCATGAGTGTGTTTGTAACACAAATCCAAATGTGTTTGTAACAGCCTTTGAACTATTGAATTTGTTTTTCATTCACTTATTCTTTACATATTTATTGAGCATCTAAGATGTAAAAGGACTGTTCTAGACATTAAGGGTAATAGGAAAAAAGTGGACAAAAATCTTTGACTTGACTTAGCTTTTATTCTGGTGCTTTGTTCAAAATATAGTGCAAATAAAATATCATAGATGAATAGATGAATATACATAACAGATCTTTTTGTCAGACTCGCACATAATACAGGTTGGTCTTTATTTTGTGACTGGCAATTCATCTTAATCCTACCTGGAGTTGCTTGCTTTTAAGCATTTTTTATACTTTTTTATTTCTTCCTCTTCACTGTGTAAAACAAAAGATAAAGCTTCTTCAACTTTTCTTCAGGGTCATTTTGAGAAATCCATCATTGTAATTACGTCTTTTGAAAATTCAAAATGGTTTTCATTTTTAAAATACATTCAATTTCAATGGCTAAAACACAGCTAAGTTTGTTGACTTTTGTTTGCCAGTGTGCCATTAGTTTTTCATTGTAAATGCATTATGTAAATAAGGCTGGCTGAGTTCTTACTTATACACATCACAGCACAAAATGTAATCTAGCACAGTAGGTGAGAACTCAGTTTTTCTTTACTCTCATCTTGAGAGATTTTTAAAACACATAAGTTGTTTCTTCTTCCAACTGAGGGGACAGTAATTTTCAAAACAGGCCAAAAACATTGCCTTTAAGGCCAAATTATTCTTCCCATTATAACATGAAGTTTAGAACAATTCTATTTTCAACTAAAACTGAATTAAGAGGACTGTTTTACTTAGAGAATGCTCCCTGAGGGATCTATAGGGCATGAAACATTCCAAACAGTATCAGCAGGTTTTCAGAGGCCAAATGCCTCTGAATATGTAGGGGAAATCCATGTTAATTACTTTCTATACACCTCAGATTTATAGACCTTATCGTAATTAACTCAGTCATGCCCCACATACCTTCTTAGTGTTATGGTTTTGACTGTTATTTAGGGTCACTTATAAGGAGCTGTCCTAAGGAAAATTAATTGCTTTCTTTATAAAATCAATATCAATGGTTTTTATTGATCACTGCTAGGGTGTCTTTCAATACATAAATCTCTACATGAGAAATGTCTTTTAACATGTAGTGACAGAACAACCTTGGCTCTCCTGGGAGGCAAGGTGGTCTTCTATGAAGTTAGATCATCCAGAGTCTGGATTTAGTGTATGACTTTTCTGAGTTTCATGTCCTGTCACATAAAGATAATAAAACCGAATGGCCATACCAGAGGTAAAGGCAGTAGATGACCTGACACAAAATGTGTGACATACAGGATCACTCTTAGCATCCCACTTACCCTCCCCCAAATCTTCCCCTCCTCTCTTTCCTTCTTGCTAGAAAATGTTTTGTCTGTGCTGGGTTGAAGGCATGGTAAAGCATGGCACAGGGTCAGTATCTGTGGGTTTCCATTCTGATGCTCTGCTATTTAAACAGTGCTTTAATCTGGAGAATGAGAAGCTTATTTTAAAATATGTCATGTTTTACCTTTACAATTTTCACTCAAATATTGTTAAGTGGCCTATAAATTTTATTAAATGTGGAGTGCCTGGGTGGCTCAGTCCCGTTAAGTGTCTGCCTTTAGCCCAGATCACTATCTCATGGTCTTGGGATCAAGTCCATGTCAGGTTGCCTGCTCAACTGAGAGTCTGCTTCTCCCTCTGCCCATCCCCTCCCCCACTTGTGATCTTTCTCTCTCTCTCTCTCTCTCTCAAATAAATAAATAATGAGTAAATGTATATGGCCAATGCTGAGAGCATAGGTATTATAAAGGCATAGATAACTAGGGAAATTCACTTACTGAGACAGAGCAAATATTTCCAATGAGCAAGACTGAAATGCTATATGTTCAAATGTCTTCTTTAAGGTATAGTTTTATGTTTGAAAAGTGCATCTTACAAGCCAACCTCCTATTCTGTCAACTTTCTCTCCAAGAATCCCCGATATTAACAAAGATTATAGTGGGGAGTGCCTTTGACTTTGCTTTCATATTTAGTGACCCTGATATTCTCTTCTTACTTTATGAAGTTAGGCAGATGAGACAGTTCCCTGCTTGGGTAAACTTGGGTTCAAGTCCTTATTTTTCACTCTGTTAGATTTTGAAGAGGTCACTAAAAATGGAGCTTCAGTTTCTCAACTATAAAATGGGAAATACAATGTTTATCTCATAGAGCTCCCGAGATAATTAATGGAATGCCCCTAATCCAAAGAACATGTCCAATTTATTTCATGGTCTTTAACTCCTCTCCCTCCCTTATGTATGTGGAAGCCATCAGTCACCACAAGAAGAAAAAAAGGAACCTAGTTTTCGTTAGAGCCATAGTTCAGCTTTAATATGAAATATTAAAGAGCAAAATGATGCCTGCAACATATTGGAAGAATGTGAATGAAATTAAATATGAGTTATAATAAAATATAATATGCACCTTTATCAACAATAGCCCAAATTATAGAAAGAGCCCAAGTGTCCACTGACTGATGAATGAATAAAGAAGGTGTGGTATATATACACAATGGAATATTACTCAGCCATAAGAAGAATGAAATCTTGCCGTTTGCAGCAACAAGGATGGAAATTATGTATTATGTTAAGCAAAGTAAGTCAGTTAGAGAAAGACAAATACCATATGATTTCATTCATATGTGGAATTTAAGAAACAAAACGGTGAACACAGAGGAAGGGAAAAAAAGAGAAGGAGAAAAAAAAGAGAGAGAGAGAATGAAGGAAGCAAACCATAAGAGACTTTCAACTGTAGAAAACAAACTGAGGGTTGTTGGAGGGGAGGTGGGCAGGGAGATGGGCTAGATGGGTGATGGGCATTAAGGAGGGGACTTGTGATGAGCAGCAGGTGTTATAAGTGTGATTAGTCACTAAATTCTATATCTAAAACCAACATTATACTATATGTTAACTAACCAGAATGTAAATTTAAAAATTGATGCAAATATGTATAAATATGTATCTTTAATAATAAAATGATGAGTAATTTTCGCTTAGCTTTTCAAAAGTACTTGAACAAATAAATGTATGAAATTGCTTAAGCCCTGAATTTATAAAGAATCCAAATCCTGTCATTTCTCAGAATAAGAGAATAAGTACCTATAACAGAAATGTCTACAAATTACATTAATTTTAAGTATACTAATTGTAGCAAAAGCTCTTCAAGAGAAACAAGCTCTGGCTGGACCATTCATGTAGGAGCTATGACTGTCACCATCCTCCAGGGCCAGAGACACTTACCAGAGACCTAAAGACATACCTGAAGCCTCCTGCCATGGAGATCCCCCGATCCAACAGCATACCAACATCAGGGCATCACTCTCATTTTGAGATGGTTCATGTTAATGATGACAATCTTAGTAATCATGTATTTCAAACACTCCCTGTGTCAGACTCTGTGTACCTCCCACACATTTATCCCATTCAGTCCTCACCGCAACTTCACATGGTAGATATCAGTATCCCTTTTCTACAGATGACGCCACTGAGAATCATGGGAGTTACATGCATTTTTCAAAGTAATATGGTTATAAACAGCATTGCAAGACTCAAACCTGGGTGCTGGATGCCAGTTTCCGCATTCTTAAATGCCCCCAGCACTGTATAATTTACCAAGGCCAGTGCTTTGACCTCCATGTATTTTATCTGATTCTTAAGACAATAGCTCCTCGAGTTTAGCCAGGAGATTTATGTCTTCTCCCTAATATTAGTGAAGCAAGTTAGACTTAGGTGAGTAAAGTGATGTTTTTGTTTTGTTTTGTTTTAATTTATTTTTTCAAGATTTGGTTTATTTATTTGTCAGAGAGAGAGAGAGAGAGAGAGCGCACACAAGCAGAAGCAGAGGAGGGCAGAGAAAGAAGCAGACTCCTTGTTGAGCAAGAGCCCAATGTGGGACTCAATCCCAGGATCCTGGGATCAAGATCTAAGCCAAAGACAGATGCCTAATTGTCTGAGCCACCCAGGCATCCTAACATGATGTTTCTAATGTTGGCAAAGGTGGGGACTCCATGGGATGATCTGAAAGGGGCAGCAAGGCAAGGTCCCTCTCCCAGGGTTCTGAAAGACACATACTTATAAACCTACCACACAAAAGGAGAGAAATGACAGGTATAATTCAAACTAGTGAATAAACTATAAGTTCAACAATATTTACTGACAGTCTTTTATGTACTACATTGGACCAGATCCTTGAAAATAAGACCTCCACCCTGTGATAATAAGACCCTCTGGTTGAGCACTCTGGTTTTGTTAATTTAATTAAAAGGAGATAGTAGCTAGTTCTTTTAGTCACATGTGCCCTGAGGGAGGGGGGAATAAGCTTTCTTACTATGATAAGATATGAAATTATTTTCCATTTCATCCATCCTGCTTTACAAAAATGTGCAAGTATTTCAAATAAAATGGCACCATCTGGGTGGGAAGTTTGGCTCATGTGGAGAAGCTGGAGGTGGGCTGGCAGAGAGTGGTTGCACTTTTTAGCGTACACACCACAGGAACATATGGCACTAAAAGAGCAAAGTCTGTGGGCTGTCCTCACTACACTTGTCAATGTTACAAACCTGAAAGTGATGGTAAGGTGTACCAGACGGGAAGCAGGGAGCAGGCTGGGAAGAGAGGTCAACCAGAGAATCCAGGGTGGCAGCCAGGAGGAAGATCATCGCCTGGCTACATGTCAGAGGGTGTCTCTGGGAGTAAGGAATGTTCGTCATCATATCTTAATTCAAGACCTTCCTACTGGAGTTCTCTTTACAGAGAATTAAGGGGTGGCTTCTGACTGGCAGCCATACATGTACAAGGTTATCTGCTGAGCTATCAGGAACCAATGTCTCCACGCAGGTTTTCTGGGAAAGCCTG